AAACATCCAGGAAGACATAGTTCTGTCCCTAGTGTTAAACATCCAGGAAGACATAGTTCTGTCCCTAGTTTTAAACATACAGGAAGACATAGTTCTGTCCCTAGTGTTACACATCCAGGAAGATATAGTTCTGTCCCTAGTGTTTAACATCCAGGAAGACATAGTTCTGTCCCTAATGTTAAACATCCAGGAAGACATAGTTCTGTCCCTAGTATCAAACATCCAGGAAGATATAATTCTGTCCCTAGTGTTAAACATCCAGGAAGACATAGTTGTTTCCCTAGTGTTAAACATCCAGGAAGACATAGTTGTTTCCCTAGTGTTAAACATCCAGGAAGACATAGTTCTGTGCCTAGTGTTAAACATCCAGGAAGACATAGTTCTGTCCCTAGTATCAAACATCCAGGAAGACATAGTTCTGTCCCTAGTATCAAACATCCAGGAAGATATAATTCTGTCCCTAGTGTTAAACATCCAGGAAGACACAGTTCTGTCCCTAGTGTTAAACATCCAGGAAGATATAGTTCTGTCCCTAGTATCAAACATCCAGAAAGACGTAGTTCTGTCCCTAGTGCTAAACATCCAGGAAGACATAGTTCTGTCCCTAGTATCAAACATCCAGGAAGACATAGTTCTGTCCCTAGTATCAAACATCCAGGAAGATATAGTTCTGTCCCTAGTATCAAACATCCAGAAAGACATAGTTCTGTCCCTAGTGTTAAACATCCAGCAAGACATAGTTCTGTCCCTAGTGTGAAACATCCAGGAAGACATAGTTCTGTCCCTAGTATCAAACATCCAGGAAGATATAATTCTGTCCCTAGTGTTAAACATCCAGGAAGATATAGTTCTGTCCCTACCGTTAAACATCCAGGAAGACATAGTTCTGTCCCTAGTATCAAACATCCAGGAAGATATAATTCTGTCCCTAGTGTTAAACATCCAGGAAGACACGGTTCTGTCCCTAGTGTTAAACATCCAGGAAGACATACTTCTGTCCCTAGTTTTAAACATCCAGGAAGACACAGTTCTGTCCCTAGTGTTAAACATCCAGGATGACATAGTTCTGTCCCTAGTGTTAAACATCCAGCAAGACATAGTTCTGTCCCTAGTGTTAAAAGTCCAGGAAGACATAGTTCTGTCCCTAGTGTTAAACATCCCTGAAGACATAGTTCTGTCCCTTGTGTTAATTATAACATCCAGGAAGACATAGTTCTGTGCCTAGTGTTAAACATCCAGGAAGACATAGTTCTGTCCCTAGTGTTAATTATAACATCCAGGAAGACATAGTTCTGTCAATTTCTTTGTGTTTATCTTTCTCTTTGATCCTGTTGCTTTTTCTGAAGAAAAATACACCAAATCATGAGCACAAAAATTGACAAATTATTTAGCGAGAAATAAAAATACAAGTTGGAAACATGTTCAGATCAGTGAATCAACAACAATGAAGTGGTTTGTTTGCTTAAAATTATTTTCTTTTATTCATGATAAACACATAGGAAAGACAACGGTTGTTTGAATATCAAAAATAAATTTGATTCCTGAAACCTTTATGCTGTGTTGATCAAACACAGCTACTGACGTACAGTACAGTATCAAACCAAACTGCCTGTATACCTGTGTACTGATCACCTTCCATGGAGATAAGTTAGATAAATCTCACAGGTGAACAAGTTCTTATTTGATAATTAGGAATCCAATTTTTTTATATCATATCTTAACTTTCTTTGTAACTGGTTTTCCAAACTTGGCCATGAACTTGGCATAGAGTCCATGTGAGATGACTATGTCCACCATTAAATGGTTAGGCTTGACCGCTCCGTCCACGGCCTGGACCGTGGCATGGCTGTACAACCAACTGAAACATACAAGGTTTCAGTGTCAGCTGGGCCATTCTGCTATAGTGATGAAGTATCATTCTAAGTGAGGCAAAATAAAATTGACCTTCAGGGGTCATGATTGGAAAGGACATCATAAACAATCACCATTTTGGCTTCCTATGCTAACAGTTAGGAAGGCCATGCACAATTTTCACATTTACAAAATAAATCAACACATAAAACTTATATTGGGTGTGGCATGACAGTGCATTGATTTTTTCACACTTCAGGAGACTAGAACAAAGACCATAATACAGGTAAACCAAAAGTTTGAAAGTCAGTGTGCAACTGCCTAACGACAGAATATCACAGAAATAGTGTGGACTGTAACATGCTTCCAAACAAACATTGAATTATGGTGATGCTGTCCTTCATAGTACGTCATAGATCAACAACCAACAAATACCACATTAAATGGTCGAAGGAAAATAGTTCCCAGTATATCAATATGCAGTTGAAAGTGCTACTTCTTGTTTACATATAAAGCATGTCTTGAATAAAGTTTTGTTCCATATAAGTGAATATTTCGTAAAATGACACTACTCAGAAATACAGCATGGCCGCCGTTAGAAAATATTTAGCTATTGTAGTTAGCCAATAGCTAATCAGGATTTGTTTACAATGTGTCAGCTACTGCAATAATGTGAACATGCACTGAATTATCACTTCACACATTTAATACCTGTTATATTGACATCATCGGTAACCTAACGTAGCAAGAAGCAGTCCCATTCTGTACTTTCACTTTACATACTTGTTGACAAGGTAGTATGTATTACCTGTGTAATTGACAATGTTGCGTTGATGACAGATATGTCGGCCCACTTGGTAAACGTGACAGATAGAACAGTTAAACCACGGAGACACATGTTTGACCTGATTACTTTGTCATGGGAAATATAATTATGATCTACATAATATCAATTCCATTTTTTTTTTAAATGGTCCCTTGATTTCCTTAACAAAGGGGCCAATGGCTCTTTGATTTATCTCTCTTCCTAATCACTGTGCGAATGAGAAATCTGCGGACTGTATATTGTAGTTATAAATCAAAGTTGCCAATTATTTTGAGATTAAGATAACAGTGACTTACTTGAGATGCTCCCCATTGGCAGGGATGCTGATTCTTTTCTCCAGGAGAGCTTTGTTTGCAAGCAGTTCTTTCTGTATAGACAGCTGTAGTTCATGTAGACCGTGGCCCTTCACAGACGATATGCTCATACAATCAAGGTCACACACCTCACTATAGAACAAATTAGCAAATAATGTATTTGTAAATATGTCAAAACATCAGAGGCTAGGACATGTTCACGAGGTGGCAGGTTAACAATATAAAACATTAACAATGTCTCGGCCAATCAGAGATCAGGGCTACCATATCAGACTTTTATCAACTTGTCAATGTCAAATACCTGGTGTAATCAAAACTCAAACAGAATTATTTGTACCAACATTTGACTAATTTCTGCTCTTTTCAAACATGTCTGAACAATGAAATGAAGCCTTTTATCTATTTGATGGCCATTCTATTTTCATGGATTTGATCATGACTGCCATTATTATTAATAATAGGTGATGAAAAATTTGGGTCACAATGACATACAAGTCGAAAAGTGAGATTTTGTTTAAGGAAGAGTGAAATTGGCCTTGCAGAGCGACATTTTGAATGGATTGCAGAATAACATTGTTTCAGCATTCAAGGTTAGAGTTTGTACCTACTTTTTAAGACTTTTTAAAAGTCAATATTCTTGTTTTTTATTGTATTACCTTTTTATGTACAAACCAAATTTGTGAAAGATAATTAAACAAGAGGTCCAAGGGGAAATAACTTGAAGCTGAGATTTTGTAATGAAAGTCTTTGCAGACTTATTGTTTATCTATAGTACAATGGAATATTTCAATCCAACTTAAACAACCTCCACTATATCTCCTACATTAAAGATTTAATGAACTATAATTTAGAATTGTACCCTTTGACAAGATCCGTTTTATTTCCAACATTGATGATTTTCTTGTACTGAGTGTCGGTCAACATCTTCTTCAGTGTTTTTTGGACATTGTCCTTCTGAGCTAGTCTGTCCGGATGGCTGATATCCTGAAGGTGGATTATCACATCCTGTGTAAAAAATACCATAAGTTTACACCATATACAACAAAATATGCTAACCTCATACACTGCTCATTTATACAGCATATCACAAAAATATGCCAATTTGATACAAAATAAAGTCATAAAAAAGTGCCATATGTATTAATAAAGTTATGTTACAGTATATGAACTATGGTTTTCCTGGAATTAAAGAAGCATATATTGTGTAAATATAGGTATGTGATATCATATTTACAAGACAGGTTGCACTAGAGAAAATATTAATAAAATAATTCAATCAACAAGGCGCAATACTGAAAGCAATCCTTGGTTCCCCACCTCTAATAGACAGACTTTGATTTATCTCAAAACTGACCACCTGAGGTACAACCAAGGTAACCTGCTAATATCAACAATGACACCAATACTGATGCTGAAACAACCTGATTGCCTGGTTTTGATAGACAATCCTAAACACACTCCACCTCAACCCAACTATAAACAGGCTGTACAAACCTCAACCCAACTATAAACAGGCTGTACAAACCTCAACCCAACTATAAACAGGCTGTACAAACCTCAACCCAACTATAAACAGGCTGTACAAACCTCAACCCAACTATAA